CTTGGAGACATAGATTTTCTGTTACATTGCGCAGACCTCATTAGTTTTACACTCAAATCTGGTCATATTAATTTTCTGAGTTGCATAATTAGTCTTCAGCTAAGTAATTTCGAATTATATTTAATGTGTCTCCAATACTCTCAGCACATGGGAGTTCTTTCTAAGCTTTCTTTGATTTATGCGTTTGACGTCGCTGTTGAGATCATTGAGAAAATTCCTACTCACTGCTTTAAACTTGGTGGATCTGTAATGTAAATCATGCCATCCTCAAATTCTTTTAGTTCGTCTATGGGTGGAGGGTTTTTTGTTGAATTGAAGCCGTAGTTCTGCTTGGTGGTTGAGGCCTTGTTCGAGTGTAGGAAGAAGGAAGCTTTCCATCGCATTCTTCGTATGAAGTGTGCCGTTTTCTCTATAAGGCGGTGTAGATAATCTTTCTGGGTAGGTATTGGTATGTTCTTCGTGGAGTAGCCAAGATTTATTTCCTCCATTTATTTCCTCCTATATATATATATATATATATATATATATATATATATATATGTATGGTATGTTAATTCCATCACTCACTCAATGCGACTAAAATTGCTGTAGGCTAGTTCCAGGGCCAATTTTTATTTTACCATGATTGCAAGTAGAACGTTTTGGTCACATTTGTACATGGTTTATTATTTCTATGTCTCAGACTACAGGAAGTTGGTAAAATATAATGACACCATTAAAACCACCACTGAAGTCAAGTATGCCACCTGATTCTGTTCAATCCACTCAATATACACACTTGTGTGTATACCTGACTTTGGCGGTGGTTTATTGCTTCATTATACAATAGTAAAATTTTTAGAAGATTTTGTAGAACTACATTTGCTGATTGCATACTATAAGTAGTTCATGTACACAATGTACATGTATGGTGTCACCTTTCATGAAGTGATCCTCTTTAATATAATCTAACTTTCCATCAAAACCTATAAATATCCATCTGGTTCAAATTTGGTATTGACATAAAAATGTAAATAAGTTTTCTGCAATTTTTGCCTCATAATCTGGCAGAAGACAGTTCATGGAATACTTGTGTGACTGTTTATATTTTTGTGATTGTGAATCTAACCATTATTTACTATTAACAAGATGTTTTAAGTTTGTTTTGATAAACCATTTACATTTTTGTATTTTTTATATAGGAAATCTCCAAGTTTCATTGAATCGCCAGGGTACATATAACATCGCCCACACTGATGTTTTAGAAATTATCTGTAATGTAAACTTACCAAACAATGAAGTGTCTGTATGGTGGAATGCACCAAACTATTCATCAGATCCTGTTGTTCCTGAAAATGGTATATTCACCTTGAGTAAAACAGATTTACAACCAGAAAAGGACAGCGGTGTGTATGGGTGCTATGCTGAAGCCAGGAATGCAGGTATTGTCGTCGTAGGAAGTTCTACTGCGAGTGTTACAGTTGATGTACAAGGTAAGTGTATTTAATATTCAGTACTTTCGAATCATATACTGTTCATTAAATTTGTATAATATGTTATAGTTGATCTCAGCAGTACAAGTTACTGAACATGCTACTATAACAACCTATACATCATCTGAAAGCTTAAGTATAGGCAAATACGTGAGTGCATACATGTATATGCTGTAACTATGTTTGTCTAAGGGTGATAATGAAAAACAATGACACTTGGTTGTCTAATCTACTGTGCTGCTAGTCTAGTAGCCATTCTAAGCAAAGCTCTTTTTCACCTTAATATTTATTTAACTACTTAATATTTATGAGCATTATTCTGTTAACTCTATGGTATTAATGTTCACCAATTTTGGTGCACCTTTTCATTGAATTATTCCCCAGTATTTGTAACTATTTAGGTCGGAAGTACGATTCTTTTAAATTTGTGCAGTTTATTTATTTTTAAATCCAAAATGGTGTAGAATAAGTATGACATATGGACCAACTAATATGTCCCTTACAGACTCATTTTGTTAAGGTACCTGGAAATTTACTGTTAAATTAATTGTTCATGATGTTGTAGCTTGTCTCCTTTGATGAAGTGAGCAGGTCTTACATATAGGAAAACAATGTGTTTAACTTCATATTAGATTTTGCAAAGGATTGTGAGATGGAAAGTTGAACAATAGAGGGTGTTGGGGGAATCATATCTTTTGCGTACAACCCTGTGCTAACATCAACTGTAAACCTCTCCTCTTCAAGCAACGCATTTTAAAAAAAAATGTATGGTTATTCTGTTGTACTTTCCATTAATTTCACTGCAGGGACTACATGTACATTTTATGTCAACCAAACATATTTAAATCTTACTACTACACAACTAATAATAATAACTAACACTACTGTAATATGCAAAGTAGCTAAAAAAGATTTTAATTCCAGTCAGCCTTGTGTTCCAGTCAGTCAATATACTGGTACCCGGTATAATGTGATGTAACTAACTAAACTGTGATTAAGGTAGTTTGCTACCATTAAAACAATACTAAGATATCCTTGAAATCCAGAAAGAAGAGTTGGGTTACTGTAATGGGTCATCGAACTAAGTTTTCTGCAAACTACCTGAAAAATTGATCAAAAATGTTTTTTTTTTAAATTTTTACAATTGGTTCCTATGGCAAAAACATTCCATCATATCTCAAAATTTTGGTCAGTGACCTATGCTAAAAAAAATAGCTGTCATGAAAAATTGAAGAATTTTGAATATTATTATAAGTTTATTCATGAATTAATTTGTTAACATGTAATTCTATGAAAAATTTTCCAAAATGACTGCTTTTTAGATGAAATTGCATTATGTTTTCTTGGAAAAAAATCCTTCTTTCTCCATGAAAACTTTAAATATGAATGACGTGCATGTATGTGAATCATCACACAACAATTTATGAATAATTTACTGTTACTGCTCTAGCTGGCTTTCTTGTTACTAGTTTCTCCATTTACTTACACTACCTGTTCTCAGAGAGCTGCTATGAATGCAGAAGTGTAACAATATTTTTTAAAGGTGACGTGCACCTAGGGGTGGGGGGTGATACCAGTATACTACTTGTTTTTATGTGCATACTGTTGGAACACACAGAAAATGATGATATATTTCATGGATAATGTGACAATAAAGTACCATATCAGCTAGTAATATTTCACACTAAACATCACAACTGTAAGTTATTAAACACAACATTTTTTTTTCCAGTTCTTGCAACAATAGTTGAGATACCAGATTCACAAGAAATTGAGATATCTAGTTCTCCAGTTTTTACATGTAGTGGACATGGTAAACCATTGCCAGAAGTGTCATGGCAGACAATTAACGGAGGCCCTATTTCTGAGTCTGATACTGAGATCATAGAGGATGGTTATTTTATGAATAGTACACTGACATTCAACAGTGTAGATAGAAATGACAATGGTATATATCAATGTGTGGTGAATAATGGATATGATGATGTGAGTGAAAACTTTACTCTCACTGTCTTAGGTATGTATTATACAAGTTTATCAATAAATAAGTAAAAAATGTATTTAAATCTCTATAGGACCATTTTTGTGAGTGCATGTGAACAATATCATAATTATGGGATAGATTTGAATCAGCGATCAGACACGATTGATTTTGTATATAATAGTAATTTTATTTTTTCATTATTTTATATAGAGGTACCAGATCAAGTGACAATTATAACTTTTATAGCCACAAATGCTGAGATAATTGAATTGAAATGGGAAGTGACTTATGATGGTAACAGTGACATCATACAATGTGGTGTAGAATATATGGAATTTAATGATCAACAACAACCAGTGACTGACTGGATGACTTACATAACTGTTACTGAAATTCGGATACAGTGCATGATTCAAATAGAAAACCTAGCAGCATATACCTACTACAAGGCTAGAATTAGTTGTACAAATTCTCAGGGATCAAGTGTACCAACTGAGACTGTTATAGTAAGAACGAAAGAGTCTAGTGAGTATATTTTTTTATTTACACATTTTGAGCACTATAAATATATCTGTATTAACTGTAATAAATTATGAAAACAAACCCAGAAGATGCTATGTTTTGACTATTTTTTTTAATTCCAAATTCTTGACAGGTTGTAAGATATTTTCGATTTGATTCAGAGTTCTTATTATTCTTTCAAATGCTATAGGTTCTAATCCACCAAGGAATGTAACATTGGTAGCCAATACTGAAAGTGATATCACTGTCACTTGGTTAGTTCCAGTAAAATTGAATGGAGAATTAGATTATTACATAGTTTATTACTCAATTATTAGTGGTAGTAATACTATGAACAAACAAAGTAAGTTATTTGAATTTTATAATATGTTTCAATATTAAGACATTTCGTACTACAGTGATAGTATCATATACATCATATACTTACCGGTGTTATAATTATGAGATCAGCTATTTA